TCCCCAAGGGGGGGAAAGTGTCACGAATGTGACTTCGGGTATTGAAAAATACTTGTTGGCCAGTCCTTATGAACATTCTTTCTTTACTGCCATGACAACATGAGGTCGGTATAGTTGGTTCCTTTTATAATTCCCACTTGAGGTAGTTGAGAAACTAATCAATGGCCATGTACTTAAATCGGATAAACATAATGTAGGAACTCCTATATGTTTCTTGCTAAGTAGATTCAACCTAGTTTGAGAAACTCTTGTCATTGGCTTGCACTTGCTAGTATCAAGAACCCTTATAATATTGAGTCTAGTCCTTCAATATCGTTATATGGTAGTTTAATATGTCCATCAGACACCTTTGGTATCATGCCCTTGGTGTTAGTCTCGTTTTGTTCTATTGGCTAATTATAGACGCCTGGATCTAGACTTAGTGGTTACACTAGGAACATCAGTTTAGGATCTTTCTTGAGGGCTTCCTTAGGCACATTTGCTTTTAGACCAGAATTTTCAATCACAATTTCCTATGGTGTTTATGGTGTTGAGTAGCTTAAGAACCCCTCTTTCCAATAAGCTATGGCACAATAGTAGATTTAGCTGAAAGAGTGATATGCAAAGTGTTTCTCTTCTTTTTAGCCTTAGTGTGCAAGTGTCCAGATTTGTTAATTTAGCATATGTACGGAATGTAAAGATTGACTTGAACACAATAGTGTTTGTCCCATGTTCAAGTCCCGTGTTCGAGTTAGTCCCGAAGAGTAACTCCTGGCACTAAAGAAGGCTTGGGGTGAAAGCCCAAAGCATGTGTTACTTAGGGGGCGGGGGGTGGGCGGGCGGGCGGGCCAGCCGGGGGAGACTATTCTAAAACATTTAGCATCTCAATGCTAAGGCTAATATGCAAAATAGAGCTAGATGGAGTCTAATGTAATTTTAATATACTAGTGGTATAATGTGAAAATATGAGTACACCATCAATTAATATGGTATAAAACTTGGGTTTAAACACAAATCAGACACAAAACTAAGATATGCACACAAGTAGAGAGCTATACTACAAATCAGGATATACGGCAAGGAAAACACTCTTTACATTCCCTAAATATGCCTCTCGAGCCATAGAACTAAAATGGGACCAACATATAGAGTATAATAACAAGGGTGTATTATGTAGCAATATTGAAAAACTAGACTCAATATGCAAAGGTTCTTAGTGCAGACTACAATGATACTTATTTAAAGCTTAGAAACTTTTATGATAAGGTTGTGGAAAATTATGTTACTTGTTTGATGGGGTTTTGCTTTTGGCAAAATCTGAATGCTATGGGTGGGACTCATTTGAAAGGCAATTACAAAAGCACTTTAGTGACAGCTATAGGTGTTAATGTAAATGGCTTATGTGATAATGAAAATTGCAATAATTAAAAATGGTTTCTCCAAAAGTGTTTGCTAAGGGATATACTTACTAGATTGACATTCATCCTGAAAGTTTTCCATGCTGTGTTTGGAAATATATCTCATGGTTATTGCTTAAGATATTTTACAAAGAATTTTAGAAAAGAATTCGAAAGAGACAAAGAAAGGAAATGGCATTTACAGAAGTAGTAAAAGAGATTAAGTCTCAAATTTCCTTTGCAACAAATTGAATTGGACGGTCATTGCTTGAGCATTAGATAACTTCTTTCTTTCAAGGTTAATGTTTTACTTAACGTCTAATATTGCTGAGGCTCTAAATTCTTGGTTGTTAGAAGCAAGAGACATGACCATCCTTACATATGATCCAACAAAAAGTCATGACTTGGTTTTATAAAAGAAAAATGAACACTCGCAATATGATTATTACAAGAAAGATATCAATTACTTAAAGGAAATACAATTATATAAAGTAACTAATCAAATGTAAACTTGGAACTCTCACCAAACTTCATTTTGGTATCTAATCATTAAAGAAAATTGTGGTTTATCTATATAAATGTGTGATCTATTTAATTAAATAACATTATTACATGCAACCTGTAGCAAATTATAAAGATAGATTGGGAAATATAAAATTTTTTGAGGGGCATATGCCTTATTTGATTTATGTTGATGAAAAAGATTATAAACACCAAGCTAAATGTATGCTTCACTAGTTGTGGGAAACAAGAGATAGATAGTTTCAACTTAAGTAGAGGTGGCAAATATTGCAGGGTTATGAGAATTAATTGCAAGTTCAGCAAAGATTTCGCAAGCCCACGGAGACTTAAACCTGGCTCTTGACAGAGATCTCTTGGCGCTCCACCTCCTTGAGGCTCGACACATTCAGCAACTCAACTCCAAAAGGTGACGCCGACAAGATCTTGAGCTCGTTGGTGATCATAAACTAAAGATCTCGGACGTACCAGCTCACCTGGAATTTCTCTTTGTCAGCTGACAGACCACCTATTTCATTGTGGCCGCAAACCTCATATGATCGAGGCCAGCCTGAGGGAGCAATAGCGAGATTTGCAGCTTTGAACAAGGGAGGCGGCGAGAGAGAACGACAATGTTCATGTTACAATACAAATGGGTAACATGACACCGGTACGATGCTTGAGTGGACGTTGAAGAGGGGGATTTTGTTCGAGAAGGAGTTGTGGATTGCCCCCAGGAAGCAGCCAAGTGGAAGAATATGGGCGCCCACTAGAGCATCCACCAGATCTTGCGTGCTTCCAGGAACAAAATGGAGGACTTCTTGACATAGGCGTTCGCCGGCAGGGAAAATCTAAACAAAGTTGGAAGTATCAATTCGTCTCCCAAAAACGCTTGGAACTTTGGTGATTGAACAAAAGAATCCCTTGACGTAGGAAGCCACAAGCGTATCATTCAGTTCTTTGCGCCACCATTGCAGCAGCCGCCACGCCCATTGGCTCGTGATTGGATTCGAAAAAACAGAGCTACAAGACCAAGGTTAGATTGGCTGCAAGTTTCCGATAATTTCCATCCTCGTGCCACTGCAGCCTCCAAACTTAAAAGTGTTGCCAGGCGATCCAAAGACTACATCCACGCAATCCAATTGTTCTGAAATCCTTCCACTCCAGTGCCATGGCATGGCATTTATATTTTGCCCCTCGCGACCGCGCGACGCAGCTCAGAGCCGGGACAGAGCAGCGATGAGATCCATGGGGTCGTCCAGCGATCCCGCGCGACACAGCAGATCGGCAAAAGTCAATGCTGCCATCTGGAGCTGGCAAAATTCACGCCCGAAAGATATTCCTTCAGTTCGGACTGTATGCTAGTATCCATAACGAGCGACTCGCGGAGTTCATGTTTGAGAGCATGCCACACTCTCCGCAGCATATTCCCAAAGCGGGCAAGTAGAAGTGGCGCGAAAGCTATTCGGCGGTGGGATACGGCGGCATCCTGGCGGCCTATCATAGCCCGGCCAAGCCCTCTAGACTCTTTTTTGAAATTCAGCTAGAGAGGCGACACTGGCCCATCTCGGCCAGATGCTCGACCTTCGTGTCGATGCAGAGAGCTACGTCGTCAATCATTGCTGCAATGCCGTTCAAGGGGAAGAGACTGGGACCCTGTGAGTTTTACTATTAGGCTGGGAAAGTTTTGAAAAAGTGCTGTGGTTGTTTTGTTAGATCTTTGATTTCATCACACCGATGATCCTGGCTTTCGTTATGCCAATCTAACAAAAAATAATTCACAACGTTTATTTGTTTCTTTAACAACAAAGCAAAACTATATCTTATCCCCTTCGGCCAAGGATTTGAGAGCCAAACACGGCATCCAATGCACGCGAGTTGGAAAAAGATTCTCGTAGGAGTGGATAACCTGCAAGCAAGATGCAAGTTTTGTTGCAAAAGATTTCGCAAACCCATGGATACTCCAAAAGAAAAACCTGGCTCTTGTTGACAGAGATCTCTTGGCGCTCCACCTCCTTGAGGCTTGCAGCAACTCCACAACTCTGAAAGGAGATGCCGGCAAGATCTTGAGCTCGTTGGTGATGATAAATGAAAGCTCTCGGAAATACCAGTTTTCCTGATATTTTAATTGTCAGCTGACAGTTACCTTTGTGGCCACAAACCTGATCATTTGATCGAGGCCGGCCCGAGGGAGCGATAGCGATAGCTGATCCAGCTTTGAACAACGGAGGCGGCGAGAGAGAAGCGACAATGTTCTTGTTACAATGCAAATGAGCTTCTGTCAGCGCTTCGATGCTTGAGTGGATGCTAAAGAGAGGGATTTTGCTCGAGGAGGCGTTGCGGATTGCCCCCAGGAAGCAGCCAAGTGGAAGAATCTGAGCGCCCACTAGAGCATCCACCAGATCTTTGTCCGCTCCCAGGAACATAATGGAGAACTCCTTTGAGCGATCGCCTTTGAGCTTGGAGTTGCCATCGCAATATGAAGAAAATCGGAAGTTGGAAATTTATATCAAGAGCATATCAATTCGTTTCCCAATTTTGGCACACGATTTCCAAAAGACGATGGAATTTTGGCATACGATTTCCAAAAGACGTAGGAAGCCACGGGCGATCCCTTGCGCCAATCGTCCTTGCTGGCTGGATGAAGTCAACAACGTAAAAACCTTATTTTTCAGCTGAAAGTTTCCCAGCCTTCGAGAGAAAAAAAAGGCTAATGTCAGGGGGGCATTGCGAGAATCGAACTCGCGGCCTCTCGCACCCAAAGCGAGAATCATACCACTAGACCAAATGCCCAATACATTAACGGCATCTGTTCAAAGCCAATACATCGTGAAATGAAAAACTAAACACTTGAGCAGCTGGGCTGTAGGGGATTTCCTAGATTTATCAGTGCAATTCCAGCTCCATACTTCTGTGCCAGATTCTCCATCCTCGGAACTGGACTGTGCCTAACAAAGTCCTGTCGTTCTAATATTGGTTCTTATGCCCTGTTGACAAGAGAATTTGAAGCGTCCAAGCTGGTGCTGCTCATGTACATCCTTGTTTTACAGCATTGCCACCCTCTGCAAATGCAATGATCAATTAGATTTTAAACATTGCTAGATTATTCACCTTTGAGCAATGTTTAAAACACTGCTCACACCTCCTTTGGATTTTTTATATTTCTTCCTTGTAAATAAGAGGATCCAACACAAAAGTACACACCCATAAAGTGATCCCTTCTCAGTTTTGCATCTACTTTTCTTTTTCTTTTTTTAATATTCAATGAGGGTGCATCCTGTGATCCACTCGCAAATTTTATAAAGTAGGCTTATTAGGAAGAAAACTAAATAATGACTGCTAATAATTATTCTCTTGGCTGAGGATTTTTATCGACAAATTCCTTCTTGTCAGTTGTTTCTATCGATCGCATCGCTCATTCATTCCTGCAGTGCCAAATATCAAAATCTTCAAACAAGTCGGAAAAAGATTTCTTACTCGTAGTGCTGAGCCTGCTGAGAATGAAATCCCTGAGAGTTTCCTGGTTGCGCAGCCATCATTTCCTGCGAAGAGAAAGAAGGAAATCATTTAGATGAGCAAACGTAGAACGATCATGGACAAGATAGTGAGTTTCTTCTTTTGTTCTTACTTGTGATGACATGAAATGGTGGAGAGGTTGAGCAGGGATGCTTTGCCCGGGCATGTTGGGATAGAAAGCACCTGTGTTGTTGTAAGGGACAGGCTCGCCCGTCATGCCCAGCCATGGAACTGCGACGCCTTCTTCCTGGAGAGGCGGTGGCGAGCTCGAGTCTCAGAGAAAGTTATCTCTAAGCTGAAAGGAAAGTTACCTTGAGCTCTTCGCGAGGAACTATATCTACGAGGAAGTCGAAGATGTCGGCCCTGCTAATCGCTCCGGCAACATCGTTCCTTTGCAAAGTTCTGCGCTTGTTCTCCTCGGTATGCATCCAAGCCCGGAACGTCAACTCGAGGATGAAGAGCTCGCAGGCCTTGGCGAAGAGAACTGGCGCTTCGGCACTGATCATCTACATGGATTTTACCGAAGTTACTCCATGAAACAAAACACTATCCGAGTAAAAGAGCAAGCTTACCTTGACATCCTCGTCGGCCTTCATGATTTTCTTGATCCGAGCCAATGGAAGCTGGTGCGTTTTAAAGTCTGGGAACAAAGAAAAATATATATTTCAGAAAAGATTGAAAAGACCGCTCGCTCCAGGAAAAAAAAAGAAGAAAAAACAGAGCGAACAAAGAAAAAAAATCGAGAGAGAGAACCTGTGACTTTCTCCATCTCTCGCATCTGCTGCTGCCAGAAAACCTGTAGCTGCTGCTTCTGGATTTGCTCGTAGTGGTGAATCGGCAAGGAGAGCTGATTTGGGCAAGAATTTTCTCACAGATTATGGTTCCAGAGGGAGGAACATGGAGGGAGCTACCTGTTGATCTTGCGGCTGCCCCTGCGCGTATTGGAGCGCGCCTTGCTGCTGCTGCTGCTGCTGCTGCTGCTGTTGCTGCTGCTGTTGCGACTGGGGCGATTGAGAGGCCATCGCGACCTAGAACCCAGATGATCGCGCGGCGCGAGCTTAGATTCACACACCTGTCGAAATTTCCTCGTGGAGCGCCCTCCCCGCCTTAGAATACGAGGCACTCGCCTTGCCCTAAAAAAATAAAAAGCAAGGCATGCAAGAGCCAATAACATGCTGCCACGTGTCGTAATGTCCACGTGGGGCAAACTAGGGTTCTTCGTTCCCTCCCCAATCATTTTGGATTGCCCTGATCGTCCTCGTGGATTCAGCTGCGCAATGGCGCTCTTCCGCTCGATCCGATGCTCCGCGCCTCGTTCGCTCGCATGGACGCACACTCTCAATCATTTTCTACTGGGAGATGATTGGAGGCATTAGAAGTGGAGCCCGGCCCAGCAATCTCACGAATTTTCCGCTAGAGGACAGGTACACGATTGAATTTGAGGCTTTGGGAGTTTCGATCGCAGGCACTGATGCTAATGTCAACCACTATCAGCCATGCCCAAAGTCAGCATTCTTGTCGCGAATCGCTTTCTATTCATTAGCTTCCTCCCAGGCTTTTTAAGCAGATCTCCTCCTTCGTTCTCTCCAGATCTTTTCTAGTTTGTGCTCTCTCTCTCTCTGTCTTTCGATCGTAGAAAAAAATGCGTGAGAGCGTGGCTGAAGTGATTCTTCCAGGATTCCGGTTCCATCCCACGGACGAGGAGCTCGTCGGGTTCTATCTCCGGAGGAAAATCCAGGACAAAGCTTTTCCTTTCCAAGTTATAACTCCGCTCGACATCTATAACTATGATCCCTGGGAACTTCCAAGTAAGCAAGCCAAGTTTTCTCTTCCTCTCGTGGTGATCTAACTTTCGTCCTTGATTTCTCCTAGAACTGTCCGTGTGCGGGGAGAACGCGTGGTACTTTTTTTGCCTGCGAGATCACAAGTTTAGGAACAGCTTGAGACCAAACCGGATCACCAAGAGTGGATTTTGGAAGGCAACGGGGCCGGATCGTCCAATTTCTACCGTGGAAACTTCCAGCTGCGTCGGCTTGAAGAAAACTCTCGTCTTTTACAAAGGAAGAGCAACCAAGGCAACCAAGACCGAGTGGGTCATGCACGAATTTCGTCTTCCAACCATCGGGAGTTCTGCACAGGGAAGCTGTGAGGTAAGAAAAAAAAAAGGTCTTTTTTCTCTCTCATCTTACCCAGAAATGACTTTTCTGTGCAGCAGGAATCGTGGTCCGTGTGTAGGATCTTTAGAAAACGCTGGTCCCCGAGGAAAAATTCTGCCACGGGCTCTGTTGCTGCGAGCAAAAATGGCGTCGAGGAGGAACCCAGCCTCGAGTACGTAATGACGGCGTCGGATACGTTGAGTGATGGTGGTGGCGGCGAAGCACAGACGCTAAATTTTTTCTCCTGACCGATCGCCGATCGACGAGGTGGGGGTTCTTCTTGAGATCATAAACCAACGACCACAAAGCTTTCGTCTTCCAGGAAGCTTTTTAGTTCTCTCTCGATCGCGATCCTACGCAAGTTAGCAAAAGTTTTAGCGAGAGAAACAAAGAGAGTTTGTCCAACCTGTGTTGATCTCGCAATTCCTTGTGACCGATCGTCAACTTGTCTATTGCTTCCTCAAGCCTGCAGGAAGATCGAAGTAAGCAATTGTAGTTAGTTGATCTTGATCTTACCGCTGGATGCTTTGATCGATAGTCGTGAGCGTGGAACTCGGCTGATACTTAAACCCAGCGTCTCTCAACCGCCCAAACGCTGCTCGATCATCGCCACGCTTCTTGGACGAACAAGACGCGTGATTCATCGTCGTGAACGCTGGAGCTAGCACAGCGAGGATCTCGCTTGGAACCGGCGATACACCGCACTGATCCTTGGGGTCCTTGAGGAACTGGATCACTGGAATGAGCTCTTCCTGTGAGACACCACAGCAGCTACTGGGCTCTTGTTTTAACGATCGAGCCGGAGTGGCGATCTCATCGTCGTTCTCGTCGGCCATCCAGTTCCAGAAATTCTCCTCGTGCTTTTGGAAGCTGGCGAGCTCGGATCGGAGCTGCCTCTCGGCCTCGAGCACGCGCTGGAGATCGCGAGCGGCTTCTGGATCTTGCAAGAGATGGAGCTCAAACTGGGTGTAGAGCCTGTGCTGGATCTTCTGGCGGATGGCCTCGAGCTGGAGCTGGTTGAGCTCGTGTATCCGCCGAAATCTCGACGCCTGGAGCGAGTGGATCGACTTGAGGATCACACCGATCCTCCCGTGGAGCATCAGCAGATGATCCGCGAGAAATCCTTCTCGGGCTTCTCGATCCCTCTGTGCCGCGGAGTGGAGGACTTTGGACACGAGCTCCTCGACGCCGAGCTCCACCTCGCGAGCCCTGGAGCCGGCGAGCGTCGCGACATCCCGGGGCAATGGCGGGAACGGGGCGGCGATCGAGGAGGACGCAATGGCGCTCGAAATTTCCCTGGATCGCGCCTCGATCCCACGCAAGAAGACGTCGCAGTGGGAGAGCAGCCATCCCAGAGCAAGGAGGAGCTCCCTGCTCTCGCGGGTGTCGATCGGGAGGCCGAAGAACCGGGAGCTGGGAAGATACCCCCAGAGCGCGACATAGAACTTGACGAATCCCACAATGCCGTCGCCGTGATCGTCAGAGAAGACGCCCGAGCTCCTCCAAATCTCCTGGAAACCCTCGAGCTCGCGGTGATCTTCCTGGCAGGGGAAGCAGCAGAGATGGAGGCAGACGACGTCGTGGAGGGGGCGCCAGAGCTTGATCGCGGCGCACGGCGCGTTGGATTTGGCTTGCCTGAGGAGATCGGGAGTGACGCCCGCAACGCCCAGCGATTCCAGCAGCGAGCAAAGAAATGCCAAGCTCGCCTTGGTCTCTTTCATGTTCTTGACAAACCCTAGTAATCGGCATCTTCTTGGTATATGCGTTTAGGGCAAAGGCGATCGCCGAAAAGGATGTCGTGCGCGGTAGCACAGCGTACGAAGGAGAAACCCTAAATCCCCCTAATCAAGCCATGGCGGACCTGGTCAGCGAATTGATGGGCTGCCGAATGATGCGGCCGTTCGTGCTGGACGAGGAAGTGATCACTCGCCTGAAATCGTGGCCGAGGCCTGTAAGGAACAATGGTAAGGTCATGTATAGCAGGCAGGAAGTGGGAGACGATGAAATGAAATCGGAAGAGCGCGAACTTCTCAATATGGCCTCCATGCAGGAATCCAAGAAGCAAAAGGTTGATGAAGGAGAAGGGGAAGAAGGGGGTACGGATGAAGAAGGGATGTATGTGGACGATGAAGGGGAAGAGGATGAAGAGCCCCACAAGGATTGGAACATTCTTGAGTTTGGGGAGTTCGTGCAGGCATTTTGGGCGTCGTCGTCGCCACGTATTCTAGAAAGGAAATGCTACTCCCTCATCTGGGAAGCAATCGAGGCTGATTTCCAGAGAGGAAAAACTCGGGCGATCGTGGTTGGAAATCCTGGAATCGGAAAGTCTGGTTTCCTTGTTTATGTCATGTGGAAACTTCTCCATCGGGGCTGCAAGATTCTGTTGCAGAACAAGGCCGGAGAACGGACTTTGTTCCAACACGGGCAAGGGGTGAGAATTTCGGAGTTTGACTCTCGGGCTGTTCTCTCAGACAAAGAGTTGTATTATCTGGTTGATGGCCGGCTCCCTCTTCCTCCATTGTTTCTGGGCAAGCTCATCCTTACGTGCTCTCCTCTGCTGGAGAATTACAAGGAGGTAAAGAAGGATGGAAGGCGGACGGTGTTCTACATGCCTGTTTGGAAATCAGATGAACTGGCGGCTGCGGACCAGGAGATTTTCAAGCTCGGCATTTCTTTCTGGTCAGAAAGATTCAAGAGGTGGGGTGGGCTTGCCCGATTTGTGTTAGAACAATGCGATGAAGAGGCTGATAAGAGCTTGACCGATGCCATTGATGGTTCCCGAAACATCATCAAAGTCGTTGAAGCGCAAGTGAGTGAGAGGGATGAGGCTTCGCACAAGATCCTGCACATGATGGTGAGGAACGACTTCAGGACGTACAAGTATGTGTTTGCTTCGAAGCATGTGAGCGAGAAGGTGTTTCGGAATCTGTACCAGACTCACAAGTCTGGTCTGACCTCTTTTCTATTGTTTTCGGGCAATCCGACATTGAATTCTGCTAGGGCCAACTTCCTGGAGTTACTGTGTCGGGAGGTTTTGCCCAAAGGCGGCTTGTTCCAGACGAAGTGCGTGTATGCGAACGGTCAGGGTGACCCTGTTCAGGCGGAACGATTTGACCGTCTTCAGGCTAAAGAATCTACGCAGTGGCAAAATGCGCCATGGGATTTCATGTTTTGGCCTACGAAAACAACACAGCGGTCTTGGGATGCCTTCAGACTTCGGAAGGGAGGGGGTCATGTGTGTTTGGACTTGTACCAAGTCACTCTGTCATCGGCTAAACATCAGCATGGAATTAAAGCAAAGGGAGTGCTGGATCTTAAGGCGGAAGTTGAGAGTGTCTTGAATCTGAAGATACCTCTAGAAAACATAACCGTCTATATTGTCACCTTGATTGATCTTTTTGAGAATGGTGGGTATCAGAACTGGCGGGGTGTTCAAAATCATGTGCTGAAGGATGAACGGCTTCTGAGAAAACTTAGGTCCATTGTTCAGAAGGTGATGGGAGTCCCAGTTTAATTGTTTCACCCGGTTATGTAACTGCAGAGAATTATCTAATATCATTTATTTCTACAATTCAAAATTGGCAGACCGCATCAGGAGCCCTAAATATATCAAAAGGTTTGGAAAGCCATCGTCTTGCTGCAGATTGAGCGAAGGGATTGTAGCTGAGGCTGTACCTGTGAAACAACAACCAAATCAGAAGGAAAAGAACGGAAGAAGAAAGATTTTACCAGAGCAAAGCACAAGCTTCGATGAGGATGGCCAACAGCGTCAGTGAAGCTGCAAAAGCAAACATAACGAGCAGAGTTTAGTTACGCTTGGATTATGGACATGGATGTTGTTGCTGCTGTTGTTACGTGAAGAGCATAGAAGAGGGCTGGGAAGATACTGAAGAGGTAGATGATGGTTGACAGGATGCGAACGGGATCAAACATCATGTTGAATTGCTTCTTCGGCCCGATTAGAAATCCTGTGCTGGAACAATTAACACCAAGCTCAATCGATCGATTGAATGAGGAAGGAGTCGTTACCTTCCCAATGAGACACAGTGTAAGTGACTGCGAACTTTGTAGGCCGGAGGGTCACCAGAGAAGACTGAACGTTTTCATGTTTGAAGGATTTGAGGCAGAAGCTTGATCGATCGATTCGCTTACCAGAAAGGAACAGAACAATCCGAGGCTTAAACAGCCAACAAATCCATAAGCTCGCTGCGATTTCGTGATTCGGATTTCCCCCTTTCATGAGAATGCAAGAAATATATATCAATACATACCTGACGCGCGGTCAAGCTGCAGCCCTGGCCGAACTGAGGAAGCAGTGATTCCTACTCTGGCAGCTCGCCATCGGAGATCCAGCCGACGAAATTCCGCAGGCTTCCCACGGCGCTGTTCACCCTGTCCATTTTATTTAAAACTCAAGAGTTCTAAAAATTGTTTTGTTCTTTCTTTCAAGAATGAGAGCTGGATGGCGCCTTCTGGTGGACAATGGCGCTCTGCAGCCGGACGATCCAGGGCAAGCCGTATCGTTTCTGCGCTCCAGGCCTCAAGGTAGCTCCGCATTCTTCCAAAACCACAGTTTGAATCATTTTCTGCAGAGTTTTTGTTTCTTCTGTATGCTTTGAATCAGGTGCATATACGACTACAAGGACTGTAAATGGAGGTTCCTGTTTGCTGTTATGGGAGCGGCATCTTGCTCGCGTCTGTCAATCGATTCAGCTCCTTTCTACCGACTTAACGTTCAATCTGGATGGTATGAGGAAGCTCGTGATATCGTCAGTTCATGCCGGATTTGAGGAAGCACTCGATAGGAAATCTGATGGGGAGGAGCTTGTGGTGACTGTTCTTGCTTGCAAAAGCGGTCAAGTAGGGTTTTGCGTGTATATTTCCCAGTTTATGTTTTATGTTTTTGTTTTTTTAAATATATTTCTTTGCTGGCTTTATCTGTGGCATATTTCTTAGTTCATGGTTCAATTTTCTAGAATTTTCTAAGGTTTTGTTCATGCAGAAATTGCTGGATGTATATGTTCATATTGCTAGCCTGCTTCTAGCTCCTTTATCACCTGCAGACGTTGCAGTTAAGGGTCCTAGTCGCAACGCACCTCTTTCGAAGTCCACGCACCTCTCGCCACCTCATATATAACTAGCCACCTCATACACTCCCTGTATAAATAGAGCTACACTTCCGCCCTAATCATCAATTCAAGTATGTACAATTATAGTAATGTTTCAATTTTAATTTCATTTCTATTTACAAAAAATCAGACACTAATTTCATATCTTAGTATGTGTCTTTATATTCTTGTTATAAAATTTAACCTTTTAGACTTTTTTTTATAGTTTTAATATTTTTAGATATTTTATTTTTATTACAATATTAACACTTTTCAAATTAGAATAAATTAATTTCAGAATTTATTTCTGCTAAAATTATTAAAAGTTCAAATTTTAATTTACTCAATAATTTATTTTTCTATTCAATGTTAATAACTAACAGAAATAACATGAAGGCCCTCGGGATGTAAGTTCTTTTATTTTAATTTTCTTAGTGTTTTTATTCTTATGTCTTTTCTTGTTCTCTTTGCCTTTCCATATTCACATTACCATGGATGAATGAATAAAGAAACTTCTAAACTATCACAAAAATATCACCTTTAGCATATAGCTTTATTTATTCGACCATGTTTGATATGTTTGTTTTGTTTGTTCATCAGCTGAACTGATTCCGTACTAAATAAATTCGAGACTAAAAACTGGAGGTCACACTCAGATAATCAGGTTTGATCCCACAAGTAATGATGTCGACGAGATGGAAAATAAAAAAATTACATGCTATCAGTGAAGGGACCCTATCAGTGATCAGTGAGTGGATAAGTGAAGTGTGTATAATTTGATAAAAAATTAAGTGCACTTGTAAACACTGTGACAAGATATTCTTTAAGTTGGGAAGATCGCGTCAACAGGCTCCTCACGCCCTGGATCGTGGCATCCGCCGTGGTACAATAGCTACAGGTCGCATGCGTCTCGAAATGGAGGAGCTTTTCTAGAATGCCGGCGTCGACATTGTCTTCAATGGCCATGTAAATCCCTCTCTCTTCTCGATCTCGACAGAAATCCTCGGTGTTCTTCCAGGTCCATGCCTATGAGAGGATGAACAGAGTTACACTTACGAGCTGGACCCGCGCTCTACATCGTGGTGGGCGATGGCGGCAATAGAAAGAGGTGCTCAAAACTTCGGCTCTGGGCCAGCGGCGAATCAATTCTGCTGGGACAGGCAGCCGGAATGGAGCGTGCTGCAAGATGGAAGCTTTGGTCACGGCGTATTGGAGGTAACCCGAGAGTTCAACCTCTTGATCGATCGAAGTTTGCTCTTTTTCTCTTTAGGTGAAGAACAATACCCATGCCCTGTGGACGTGGTACCGCAACCAAGATGTGTATGGTGATAGTCACCTTGGGGACGTTGTGAAATCACCGCGGTGCCGGAACTATCTGCTTTCCAAGCTGACGAAAGATCCGGTGGAAACAGTGGAAGGCCCTCCAGGATCTTGGGAGCTTTAGCCATTTTGGTGGCATCGCTTCTAGAATTTTGAAAGTGCAGAAGTTAATAAACATTAGCATATGAAAAGAATTATCGCGAGTGAATTCCAGTAAAATTGGAGAGGGAAAAGCTAACTGGAAGTCTGGTTTCCAGCCATCCAGTCAAAACTGCCGCTTTGCATGTCGACGTGGCGGCTCTTCAGTGGTTGACATTTTCTCGGCAGCATATATACGATATCAACACAAACGCTGATCATATCATCGTTCTCTCTTTGATAGATTTCTTTGCAAGAGGAACTCTAGATCATGTCTCGCGCACTAAGTTTTTTCTTCTTCGTCCTCTTGGTGGCTGCTAGTGTGACCTCTCGGCCAGTGAAGAATGAAACATGTACGCCTGTTCTTCAATCTCGATTGAATATGCCTCGCTTGGATTTGATGATCTCTGTGTTTCTTTTGAAACATCATGGTCCATGTCTGCACTCGCTTGCATGTGTGTCTGTCCAAGCGTGTAACCTGATTCGTACGTGATTTAATCTTTTACAGTGATGCTACGATTGCTAATCAGCTGGATTGGTCGCCATTGTCCAATTTCACCCCAAAATTTGCCGAACCAGAGGTAAAATAATCCTGTATTTGAAGACAATATTCTTGACATGTATGATGGTGTGTTGTCAATCATCTTTGGTGATCAGGAGCAGCAAGCCCATGTCGACTACATTTATGATTTTAATCCTTGATGAAACGGCACATTGATAAGGAGGGAATTCTCATTTATTAGAAATAATATACCTTTAATATTAATCGATTTGTCTTTGTAGTATTTTCATTATACAAATTGAAAAAAAGTTGTACAAGTAATGCTTTCCAGTCTGTCTTAAAAGCCCCACAACTTCCGTGAGTAAGTTTTATTTGATCAAAACAGAGACACATACGTGTCAAACATTTTTTATTAACATCACAAGGAGAGATCATGTGGGAGATCACTCAGTTATTCATCTTTCATCATATGGATATAGTTTGATCATCCAAAAGGATCTAGCAGCACTGGAGAACTCCCTCGACGTTCTGGATGCAATCGTCGAGATTGCGACTGGAAGAGACGAGAACGCCATCCCCGCGGTTGCAACGGGCAGCCACGTTGAGCCCATTGAAGCTGATGTTGATGCATCGTGAGGCAAAGTTGGATGAGCAGTCGAGGACACCATTGCTGCTGCCCACGCAATTGTTCACATCGATGGAGGCGTTCCTCCTTTCCAAATTGGATGTGCTGCAAATGGCTCTCATCACGGTCGAATTCCTGTCGAAGGTGATATCAGTGCAGGATCGAGAAAACTGGCAAGCCTGTAAGAGCAAGATATCCAAATTGTGAGCTTCTTGCCGGACAATCGAATGAGAGTTTCTTACCTGGGTGATGGAGAGGGTCGAGACCAGCATACACAGGAAGAAAACCTCGCGAAATGCCATAATGGGATAGAACAAGAAATAACCAAGAAGAAAATGAGTAAACAACTTTAACTAGAGATGAGTTGAGCTCTGGAAAGGCCTTGTTTATATAGTCCTGGGAGCGACGCTTATCTTGACGACTCAGCTAGTACATGACTCCACATTGCGGCTTGAATGCAAAATTTCTACGTCGACTACATTACTATACAAGTAAATATTGAAATCTAGCTCAGTTTATCATTTTTCAACGTCCAGCCAGCTATACACGGTGACATTTTTAGGAGTTTGCGTGTTTCTTTTAATTTGCTAGATTATAAATGGAATCGAAACTTAGACACTTTTTGGGGCAAGACCGCTGCGAAGAGACTCCAGGAGACATCGATTTCTACGTGCCCATAGATAGAATCACGAAGATTATCCAGTGTGTCCACACTGCTGGGCGCGAGGGTGGCACCACCATGAAAGTCTAGACTGATTTGCAAAAGAATTCGTAAAATCGAAAAGCACATAAATTCCTCCAAAGATAAAGCATACTTTATCTTTGCGAGCCATTTAGAAGATACCAAAACACCGTCCGGAGCCTCCACGCTTGCTCGGTACGTGGTAGCGTCGTCGTCTACGTTTGTCACTCGCCGGTGGATGATCCTCTTTCTTTGAGCGAAGAGATCGCAATGGAAGGATAGTTGAGATTGCTGCGTCGTCGTGTAGAATAGATGGTTTCAAGTAGAGACGTTTCGTATTTCCTGCCTCAATCCACACAGAAAGTCCGTGAATTCGGGCGCCTTGGCATCGTAGACGAGGCCCGGATGAGCAGCCGCGTTTGGATTGATGTGGTTTCCACCGAAGGTGCCGGAGAGCAATCCTGCGTCTTTGATCGGCTCCCCAGAGTTATCAGTGACAAAACCTGCAAAACAAGAGAAAAGAATCGATTGTTTTCTTCTGGAAAGCACGTAGTGTTACCTGTAGTTACGATTGCCGAATTGATAGCGGCTGGACCTTTCGCAAACAATACGCAATATTATGAACTTCCATGTCTTGTCCGCATGTCTCTGACATACCGGAGGTCTCCCACCAAGAAAAGGAAACCATAATGCATATTGTCACTCCCATTCCTTGGTGGGAGATAAGGCTCTTCTTGGTGCGTTTTAGTTTCTTTTGATACACGAACTCTTCAGGTCTCACGTCAACCAAGTCTTTCTTCTCTCCATGGCAGCCAGAGATTATTCTCAGGAACCAAAGACGAGCTAAGCACCGGCAATGCACATTCTTGTGTAACCTCTTGCTATCACTATATGCCCGGTTTGGAGTTTCAGCTAAGTTACTTCAGACCTTTACCGTTCTCTGCACCAGAGATACTGCAGCCAAATTAACATTTTCTGCCCATCATCATGAATTGGATCGCCTGGGATCTTCGGCGATTTTTGTCCCTTCTTCTGCAGGCGTACCTGAAGTTTGAACTTGCTATTCCGCAACGGCTTCTTCCTCGCACTCGATTCACGATCCGCAGAAATGAAGGATGTCCCACTCAGTGCACCTCGTGAATTCTGTACCTTGCGCAAGCCACTCCAATGAACATGGCGCCTTTTCTGATTAGGGTTATAGGTTAAAAGATATACAGATTTTTGTGACAAAAGTCGTTTTTGAGCGGCACTGCTATGAAGTTCCACAAATCTGTGCTATGTGAAGTGATTTATAATAAGAAGTAACCTTCTGCATTTCACGTTCCAGTTGAACATGGAGCTTGCCTGCTTTGAAGGTTACCAAATTTAAAATTTCTGCTTAGTCAATCTGGTGCTGCTCTTTACATAGTGGATGCTACTGTTGTGATAACTGCTGTGACTTTGTCCCCAACATGAACAGATCCATTGGTTACTATTTCTTCAGCTAAAATCATCGCATGGTTGATGCAGGAGCATGTGGTTCACAAAAGAAGCATCTTTCAGTGATTGCTTGCGAGTTCAATTGTGCATATCAGTCTTGTACTGATGGTCAAGTCATTGTACTTGAGGGAGTGGTTGGCAAGCGTCCAGTGAGGATTTTACTAGACAATGGGAGAAGTGAGAACTTTGTGTCAGCAAAGTTTGTTGAGGAGTGCAAGCTACAAAAGACCAACGTTCTAGAGTACGAGATTGAAGGTGCTACTACTGTCACACAGAGCTAGAATGCTTGTGTGAAGGATCTTGAAGGTGTTAGAACACATCAGTAGAGTGGCCTACTGGTTGCAGTTGCCTCATTCACTGTTGCCTGGATTCGTTCTGTGATTCATGTTAGCCAACTGAAAAAGGTGCTTCAGAGGAACCAGCCCTTAGTGGATTCATTGTGGTTATTCACAACTTCCTAAGAAACTTAAAATTTTAGGGTTCGAAATCAAATGGAGTAAGGTGAGTTCCAATGTTTTAAGTTTTGGATTTTCATTTTTTTTTTAATGATTTAGGTGCTTTGAGTGTGGAAAACAAAATTTTCCTTGGTTTGAGCATGATCTATTCTTCTTTCAGATCATTGTTTTTCTCCAAATTATAGCTAAAGTTTAAACACTGTTGAATTAAGGAAAAATAGCATTAAACTATCATTTTGCTAAACTGAGAGATTTATGTTGTTCCTTGCTTAGGTCAGTAGTGTAAAATTTAACTTGACATCGAAGGTTGTGTTAAGGTATTAGTGGCCCATAACTAGTTGTTATGCCCATAATTGATATACATACCTTGGCCATGATCCAGATTATAATATTGAAGAAAATAATGTTGTTGGAAGTACTTTTGGATTTAGATTTAGAAAGATTATAATGGATTATGTATTGAGATTAGACCAATGAAAAAGCTATATTCTCTTCCTAATCCACATCTCAAATAAGTCAATTTGACAAGTAAATTATTCCCTCACATTTTGTAGATTAAGCATTCTTATGTTTGTTATGATTCCAAAGTCAAAGTGTTAATCATTATTTATTGCTTTGTCATGGATTGCTCATAAAGATCCTATACAAACTTCATTTATACTGTTCTCCATCATCTTTACCATCCCTTCACTGTCTCTTTAGATCAATTTCTAAAGTGCTGTCCCTTACTTTCTTTGAAGCCAATCTTGGCTCTTGACTTGGATCTAAGTTTCTAAATTATATAGTAAATATAAATGGCATACTTTCAAGTTGCAAAAGCTTAATTGGTTGTGAGGGTTCACTTGATTGCGATGGCTAAGTCTATAGTGTATCATGCCTATTGGAAGCAACAATTTTTTGTCCTGATGTGTTAGAAACAAGGCTACTTAAATGTGTAATACCACTCTTTGAAACATGTTAATTTATTTCATTGTAGAGTTTTTTTGGGAAGTTACAATGCAATGCAATACAAGTTGCAATGCGTTAGTTATTTGATATGTATTAATAGCTTAATTGCCTATTTGGAATATCAAACTCTCATTTCTGAATGTTAAAGTAAACATTCTTTATGTCCTCCCATTTTTTCTTACATTAAAGATGGTCTTAACAATATTTATTTTTATAATAATATTGTTGAATCCACTTCTACATATTGTCTTTCCCTTTAGACTTCTCTATAAACCCATCTCTATATTTTGCATCATCTAAACATTTAGTGTAATTAAGAGTGTCTTTTCTAGTGTCTGCATCTTTCCTTTTCTAGTTTCGCTCTTTCGTTTATAATCATTTGAATTACTTCTATCAGTCTGGATTTGAGAGTTTAAAAGTTAAAGTGTCAAGGCAACTTATAGATGTATTCCCTATTATTGAGATATAGTTATGGATGAAGAAAGAACCAAAGTCAATTGGAATGCAAAAGGAAAAGCAAACTCTAAAAAACTAAAAGTTTAAATTTGAGAAACTCATATTTAATAAATCTCGTGGACTTAAAAGAAGTCTTAGTGGTGAAAACACCTTGTTGAGCAAATGAATATTGCATAAACTACACTGAACATGTTTCTAGAAACACAATTTAATATATCAAATATTTACCTCTGGAATTTCTATAAATTCCAAATTCATTTGAGTTTCCTAAAAAAACATTTTTTAGCTTGAATGAAATGAAGATTTTAGCTCACCATGGCATCCCCAAGACTTAGTTTTGTAAACAAATGAGAATTTAAAATGGAAAATGATGCTAAAGATATCAAATTTTCCTAGAAATCCACCATAAATACAAATATAAAATTTTCTAACTTTTACTTGATTTGTAACTTGTGGTTGTACCTTTGATGTTGTTGTAGATGCTCTTGAGCTACTTGATTGTCCTTTAAGGGCTAATGTAATGAATCCATCTCTCATAAATTTCATTAGTCACACTGTTGCCTCATTTCATGCCAAACCTAAAAAAACTATTTTATGTTGCCATGTGTATGGCTAGGGCTTCTCCTGGGTCAGCTCAGAGGATCTTAGGCTTGGAATTGGGGCTTGAGGTGCTCCCGGGTCAACCCACATGGATTCCCCAACTATGTACATTCAACATGAGAGGATCTGGAATTTTCCCCCACTCTAGACTGGTTGATCAAGTTCCTAATTAAGAAAGCATTTGCTATATATGTCGAGATTCAAATGTTAAAACTAATTTGATACACCATATAAGCAACATAGTTAACTTAGTGGTAGAGAAAAATATGATAGAGAAAAATGCCCTTTTGCTTTAAAATTTTTTAATACTATGAACATCTTCTCATGTTGAAAGTTCTTAGACTATGAATTGCTTTATATTTGTTTTCTGGCTTCTAGTGAAAATAATGGCAACAATCAGTATAATAATATATACTCTCATATGACATTGTAACATCACAGCAATGAAAGAGTACTTTTCAAGATGGTAAAAACAGAAATGAAGACAAATAAATATTATGGTCAATATTGCAAAAAGAATACTCTGGCTTATTTTAAAAGAAGTTTTTATTATCTATATAATTGAATCAAAATGGCGCTTTGGACTGGAAGCTGCCGGATGATCTTGTTACTCGGCTTGTTCCTCCAGGTTGGCGGTGGTGGGTTCCTCGTCGCCACTCCCAGTGTCTGGAGCTGCTGGATGGATTTCTCCTGCTGGGTGCTGCGCAAAGGCTCTACTAAGACATTTAGTTCATATCTGGACTGTCCACAAGATCAGTCATGCCTAGCGAATGGAGGGATGCAAACGAGTGAATGATAAACCTGTAGCTTCTGGTGCTTGGCTACATCAAGAGATTTTTTTGTGCAATCACGTAGAGAATATTGATTTCCTTGGAATCTGAAAAATTAATCAAAATTGCCATGAAATTTGATTTCCTTGGAATCTGAAAAATCAAACTTGCGGAGTCGAAACCCTAAATGGTGAATTTAGGGTTTGTGGGACGAAGAAGAATGGAATGGTGATCCGCCGGATCGTCTTGTCTGTGGCCAGGACGAAGAAGCGATCCTTGTCGACGGTAGGCCAGCTCGCGAAATGCGCGGAAAAATCATCGTCACTGGGAGCTGCAACAGCAGCAGCAGCGCCATCGCCGGCGCCAGATCCAGAGCTTTGCAGAGCCTTGGAAGCGCGGGGAATCCCCATCGCAACCGCGGGCAAGCTCTCGGGGCTTAGCGGGGAGCAGGCCGCGCAGCGATTGGACGCGCTGGAAAGAATCGGCTACCAGGGCGATGATCTCAAGAGCATGCTCTTCTGGGGCCCAATCGCGAATGCCGGCAGTGCTGTGGACGTGGAGCAGCGCCTCCAGGAGCTCACGGCGGCGCTGGCAGCACTGGGCGTGGACAGGGAGATCTGGGCGACGATTGTGAGCCAGCACAAGCGCTGGATCTTCGCAGTGGATGCCGGCGAGTTCCAGCAGAATCTCGCCAACCTCTGCTCGCTGGTGCTATCCTTCCAGCGATTCAAGGTGGATCTCAGCAAGTGGATCGTCCAGATGCGTCCCAGCGACAAGGAAACTCTCGAGGAGACGACGAACTTCTTGCTCGAGCAGGCCGGCAGCGAGAAGGCCTTCCGCAAGGTCGTCCAGTGCGTTCCCATGGTGCTCCAGTACGACGTGGAGAAACACCTCCAGCCCCGGATCACGACGATGGAGAGCCTGGGATTCTCCCGCGAGCAAATCACCAAGATCATCTACCAGTTCCCAAAGATCCTCACCGTCACCCCGGAGCGTCTCACCGCAGTGGTGGGCTATCTCACCGAGGAGCTGGGCTTCTCCAGCGATCAGGCGTGCCGGGTGATCACCATCTTCCCTCGCTTCTCCACCAGCAAGCTCAAGGTGATCTCCGGGAAAGTGGACTACTTCGTGAGCTTGGGCATGCAAAGGAGCAAGGTCCGGCTGATGCTGCGCAAGAATCCATCCATGGTCGGGCTCAACATCGAGCGAGGAGTGAAACCGAAGCTCGAGTTCCTGGCCAGCCTCGACTTCAAAGGCGACGATCTCGACTACCTCCTGTCCGCGCACTCGGGAGTGTTGACGAGGAACAGCCAGGCGATGGAAGGCCGGCTCAATCTCCTCCTCCGCCATGGATTGTCGCGCGACGAGTGCTCGCTGCTGCTGCGCAAGAAGCCCAGCATCTTCAACCTCGGGGACGAGCTCCTGAGTAAGAAGCTGGCGTACTACACCCGGGTGATGAAGCAGCCGCTGAGCAGCCTTTGCCACTTCTCGTCGTATCTCACGTTCAGCATGGAGGCAAAGGTGGTGCCGCGGACGACGTTCCAGCACTGGCTCTACATGAGCGGCCTGGCCAGGAAGGAGTTCTCGCAGCCTTACATGATCATGCTCTCGTCGGAAAGGTTCACGAGGAGATTTCTCGGCGGGGACGAAGCTCTCCAAGCCTACGGCAAGTTTGTGAGATCTCAGCTTGCTACTGCTCGACAAAGCACGAAAGCGGAAGCTCCCGAGCCTTTGTAGACCACTGTGAAGATCATCCATCGTGGAAGGTCGTAGACCACAGTGGAGAACTTCGTACACCACTTTGGAGATCATCCCTCTTCTCGAGATTTTGATAAGCTGTGAAGAACACGAAGATACAATGTAAGTTTCTGCGAATAGTAGTAGCTCACAAAAATTCTTCATCCATTAATACCTTTCTTTCCTTTCAATCTGTTAGAAGAAGCTCTCGCTAGCTATGCTAGGCTATGGACTGCGCTATGCTATTCCGCGGCGTTGCTACGACCACCTCTGTTGCCACCACCACGCCTGTTCGATCTTTGAGAGTCGTACCGGCGAAAGCCTGCCTCGTCAGTGCTCTCCACTCGTCGGTTGTATCCTCGACCACCACCATCACGATCGCCATAGCCGCCGCCTCTGTCACGGTCGCCGTAGCCTCCCCTTGCTCCACCCTCTCGATCACCATAGCCTCGTCCTTCACCGCGGAAGTCCCGTCCACGTCCTCGACCAGAGCCTTTTGGCAAAGAAACGAAATGCTCGTTAGGAAATGACAGAAAATGCTCGTTAAGGACGTACCTTGGGCCCTCTTGTACTCCACCTTTACAAACCGGCCACCAATCTCAATGCTATTGGATGCCTTGGAAAAGCAAGGGATAAGGATCAGAAGATGCAAAGCATAATTCTAAATGTTTCTTTACCTCCACAGCGCTGGACGCGGACTGTTGGTCTTCGAAATCAAGGAAAGCGAAGCAATATCCTTGTGCCTGCAGAGAGATGGTCACCATCGCTGCGAGCTGGATCGAAGGAAAGGAACGTTTACCTTCATAGACCGGACCTGAACGGAGCCAGGCTTGACTGGCCCAAACTTCTCAAACTTGGATTCAATCTCTTGCTCGGTAGCGTTCAAAGGCAAGTTGGAAATGTAGACACCTGAGACAAACAATGGTCATTACACAGTAGAGAGAAAAACGAAGAACATACCCTCCTTGTCCTTGTCGCTGGGAGGTTCTTCTACTGTGCTGGCGGCCGGAGGAGGAACCACAGTGGCAGGCTGCGGAGGGGCGCTCACTGGCGCTGGTCTCGGAGCCACAGGCCTTGGTTGAGCGGCCCTACTCTGAGCGAGAATGGAAGCATACGACATCTTCACCGTAGTCGTCTTCACCTGCTCTTGAAACTCCTCAGGTTGAGTTTGAGTCACAGTTGTCTCTTGGGTGATCGTCTCCACTTCCACCACCGCGGGCTCCTCCTCCACAGCCTCTACTTCAGGCTCATCGGGTGCCTTGTCCTCGGCCTTCTCCAGCACCACATACTCTTCGGATTGGAAAGTTTCCTCTGGCACGAGTCCTCCGCCTTCCAGCTGCTCGTCTGATTCAGAGAGAGACACGCGAGTCAGTCACTGATCTCGAAGCGTAATGACACTGACCTGGCTCTGGGATCGAGGAGACTGTGGACTCGGCGACCCCATTGGCCATGCTGTATGGCAGTGTCTTCGCGGCTGGTGCTTCGTCAGCGTAGCGCAGCACGTCGTTCAGGACAAAGTACCCCTTCTCTTGTGGAGCGAGGAAGAACGTCTGCACAAAGTTGCGTTTCCCGGTCGACTTACACGAGAGGGAGCCAGTCACCATGACAAGAACTCCACCTCCGAGAGAGTTCTGAGAGACCACAGACTTAATTTCGGCCTTAAAGTCGGTGAGATCCATCGACATGATCTTCGCGTGGATATCCTGGAGCAGAGTAGATCAACAAGTAGCACACAAGAAAAAAAAAAAAACGAGAATTTACCTGTTGAGTGGAGACCGTCTCCACAGGACCATCTGCGCCACCAGAGTCTCGCGTAAGCTGGCTTTGATCGGTGTAGAAGCGATGAACCACCGCTGGAGATTGATGTAGGACGTTGTAGTACTGATTGATGAATGCATTCCCGACCTTGGCACAAAGAGGGAAAGAAGAAAGAAAAATCAGCATCTTCCAAGTTTCGAGAAGCTATGGTGCTTACCAGATTAGCAGACGCTGGAGTAGCATTCGCTGTCGCCATTTCACCCCTAGAATCAAGAAAACCGCCAGATCTGAGAAAGCCGTGGAGAAAAGCAGCCAAAATTTGCGATCATCCACACATTGCGCTATCGATTCTACTCACCTCAGCAGTGCCGTGATCGAGCGATCCGCGCGGAGGCGCCTTGAAAACCCTCGCCAAAACCCTCGCGGCGACGAAACAGCCCTCTCTACCCTAAGGCCCAACGGACGGCCTGGATGCGTCTAGACTCATATGATCGATCCATGATCCATGTTTTTGAATCTAGGGCTATGGCGCTTCTCTTGGGGCGGCTGTGCTGCGCTCCTCCGCGATCGAGCTTCTTGCGTGGATTATCGCACAGGGGGACGAACTCTCGAGATTTTTCGCGGATTTCTTGCGCTGCGGCTGCCGGCGGCAGCTCCTTGCTCGATTCTTCGCTGGAGCATTGCCTGTTCGTCAGGAGATCCGTGAATCGCGGCGAGATCGTCGAGCATTCGGGTGCTGTGGTGGCATGGAAGCGTTTTCTTTCTCTTCTTGTTCTTGGCTAAGTTGGAATTTTCTCTTCTTGTTCTTGGCTGGACTTCAGGTGTTTGGAAACATCGAAAGAGGAGGCGCTGTTCGTGCCGACGGGGATGTGATCGTTCTGGGAAGCTTGGAAGGGATTTGCCAAGCTGGACGAAATGGCAAGGAGTCGATTGTTTTCTCTCTTGGCCGGGGATTTTCTTCTGCGATCGAGATCGCCAACAATCCAGACGTTTGTGTCCGTAAGCCCGGCGGTGGAGAGGCATTCATAGCGATGGCTTCGACAAGGTCTCAAAGTTTGTGGAGATTTTTTGCTTTTGAGAAAACCTTGTGCCTGTGCAGCGTAGAACGGGATCACGTTAAAAGTTTCTTTGCTCGCTTGTCGAGGCCTGCCCGAGCTGCTTTTTTCACCGGGATCTACATCTCCATAGCTGGGATTTGTTTCTTCGTTTTCCCAGAGACGCTCTTTGGTGAGACAAGTATATCAATCTCGTGTCGTGATTTTGATCATGCTACATGCAGGTCTTCTTTTCAGGCTGGAACATGTAGCACGGGGATGGATTCAAGCAACAGGAATTCTGGCAGTGGTAAGCAAACAAGGAACAGTATGTGCCGCTTACAATTTGTGACTTTCAAGGTTTTTGGTATCTATTACTTGGGAACTTCGCTTGGTGACAGCCTTGGCTTCCATGGATCCTCGGCCTTTTATGCTTCCACTGTCGCCGGACGCATCGTGAGTTTTTCTCGATCTCGAAAGATGAAAAGGAAGTTATTCTCAAAGTAACTGACTAACCAACTTGGCATGCCTCTCGCAGTTCCTCTTCCTCAGCTTTTCGTGGCTTGTCAGCCGCGGTGCCTGTCCACCGCCTCTTCTCATTGTAAGTCTTTTACCATTACGTACATTCACAAAAGGGTTTTTTATTTTGCTTTCGTCTTTAGGTTGGAGTTGTGAATCTCGCGGGTGCTTTGTACATGCTCGCAGCACTGAGGAACCCAAAGAAGGAGATCCGTACGTAGACCCTGGTCGGTTTGCCACAATAAAATCGTCGTACGCTACAGGTATGAGGTTTTCTCGCCTTTCGGGGCTCGGAATTTAGAATTCAGCTTTCCAGGGCATTGGGTCTGGTAAAGAAGAGCTTGTAGCTATGGATGTGAAGCGGCTGGATGACGACACGATGTTACAGATTCTTGGGTGCTTGGATACCGACGAGGATATCGCCCGTGCCGGTGCAGTGTGCCGCTCGTGGCACAGACTCGGTAGGATCTTGTCCCTTGAGGCGCTCAAGTTTTGGCTAATTGTCGTGCCGCAGTTGTTGATGGCCGACTTTGGAGGCGGCTGTGCATGATCCGATTTCCAGAGCTGGAAGTGTTTCGGGAGGTGGCTGAGCAATCCAGCGGTGTCGACTGTACTACTGTAGAGCTTTCTAAATCGCGGTCTGTGGAGGAGGACATTCTGAGACGCGAGCACAAGGTGTTCTGTGACTTCTACTACTCCCTGACGAGGACATCGTCGACGAGGAGCAGCTACATCTGGAATGCACTGCATGCTTCGAGCACCGACAATCCCAATGAGGACGTAATTCAGACGCTCTATCCACACCCGAAGCGGCTCTCGTCAGGCTCGCCGTCGTACTGGTCTAGCACAGGCCAGAAATTGGAAACTGTTCCAGAGTTTTTGACTTACCGGATGGTCACACCTCTGTGTGTCGTGGAGGAGATAAAGTTGAGGCCTTTTGAAGGTATGCTTGTACTTCCTTTCTTTCTCTTTTCAAAGTTCTAACTTTGCAATATGCGCTGCAGCTTTCTTTCAGTACGGGAGCCCAATCTACTCGCCGAAATTCGTTCGATTCTACTTTGGATACCAGGCTTGCCGTGCTCCTGGTGGACACTCTTGGAGCAATCCTCACCCCGATGGGAACTACGTTTGGAAGTATGTTTCGCCGATGTATCCCGTGGAACAGGTATGGACTTGTGTTGTGATATATAGAAGGTTTTAAGCTTCTCTCTTGTTTTTGCGTGAACAGGCTGATTCACTGCAGACATTTCGTCTTCCAAGGCCGGTCGTGTGCATTGGTGGAATCTTCCAGGTGGAGCTCGTCGGGCGTGTCCAAAAACAATCCACGGATCAGCTCTATTACATCTGGTAAGCTCCAACATTTCTTTTTTCTCGTCCTTTCTCCGTTTCTCGTTTCGTGTCACGCTGATGATCTGATCTTCTCCTCATCGTGGCAGCATCTGTCACGTATCGGCGCAAGGCAGCTCGCTCCAGCGGTACGACTTCGAGATCAAAGATCCCAAAAGCTTCGTGCTCAAGAGCCTCTCGAAACCGATAGAAGAAGAGAAAGAAGAGGAGGAGGTCGAGGAATTCTTTCGCGACGAAGAAGACGAGGAGTTCTTTCGCCGCCTTCGCCCGGAATTAATCGTGTGGGGAAGGCCGGTTTTCGAGGATGACGATCTGGGAGAATACTAATGTGATCCTATCCTTTAATCTTAAAGGTCTTTCTATTAGGAACTCTCCAAGTACTGTGCTAGGGTTTTTGGTTCTAGAGAGGGCTGGGACAGCGCAAGGCGACAGCGCGCACGCACGGATTTTGTCTCGATCTGGAAGATTGCTGATCGCTGTCAGGTATGATCGCTAGCTAGCTACAGCGCATTTGTTTAGTGGGAAGATCGCTTGCTTCGCGCTGATAAAATATTGCTCTAGAACTTGCCAGGAAATAGTGTTAGATCTCTTAGGTCTCGGCATTCCTTCTCTCAGTTCTTTCTCTGCTCACCGCGCGTGATCACAATGGGTGAAATTTTGCGCTCTGCAGATATGGTTGCTGTGGCGTCGCATCAATTGGCGCAATGCATCAGCGGCCACGCCTGGAATGTGGATCTGACAAGTAAGAATTCTTCCTCCTCTTGCGCGTTTTAATTTTACATCAAACAATGTGTGTTCTTCGCAGTGATCGCGGTTTGCACGAATAACGAAGTCCACATTTACAATGCCTCGCCAGCTCCAAGCGCCGTGTGGGATCGACTCCACGTCCTTCAAAAGGTAAGTAACGAGGTGGAAATCTCGCTCTTACTATCTCATTCTCTTTTGTGGCTTTAGCACGATCAGCTCGTTTCAGGAGTTGATTGGGCACCTGTCTCGAACTACATTGTCACTGTTTCGCACGATAGGAATTCGTAAGTTGATGCGTACTTCGGGTTTTTCTTTGTCCCTTTTTCTGATGTTTTTCACCTCTTCTGCAGCTACGTCTGGAAGCTAGAAGAGAATGTATGGCAGCCCACGCTGGTGATATTGCGGATAAATCGTGCTGCTATATCTGTGAAGTGGAGCCCCAGAGGTAAGAGGCTTTGCTAGTTTTCGTTACTTAAACGCGGTTCGATGTTCCCAGAGAACAAATTTGCTGTTGCTAGTGGTGCGAAGAGCGTCTGCGTTTGCTACTACGAGGAAGATAATAATTGGTCTGCTGTCTTTGTCTGTTTTAAATTCTAGTTTTGTAACACAACTTTTCCCAGGTGGGTGAGCAAGATAATCAGGAAAAAGCACGGCTCCACAGTGACTGGTGTTGCATGGCATCCGAATAATGTTGTTTTCTTTTGTTTTCAGCTGTATGAACCTTATGCCAAACGTTCGTTTAGATTGCAGGTGCTACTAGCTACGACATCTACTGACTGCAAGTGCAGGATTTTTTCTGCGTACATCAAGGGTGTTGATTCCAGGTCCGCTCTCCGTTTCGCTTTGTTTGCTTTTGTAATGACTGTATCAACTGCAGGAGCGCTGCAACTACAACGTTTGGAGAGATTCGGTTTGGGGAGGTAGGAGCTTTATTCAGGATAAAGGTGTTTAGAAGTTTATTCTTTGCGGTTTTATTGCAGCAATTGGTGCAGCTGGATTTGGCATTGGGGTGGGCTTTCGGAGTTAAATGGTCACCCAGTGGGAGGAGTTTGGCATATGTTGGTAAGGAGAAGCATGCTTCTAGCTTTGAATGCCTCTTCTAATTTTTATGTTCTAGGCCACGATTCAACTATTCATTTTATAGATGACGTTGGTCCTTCACCAATCGCTCAGACATTAGCACTCAGGGACCTACCTCTACGTGATGTATGCGGGTTTATGTCTGAAGCGTTTTTGTTTCTAACTCTCTCTTTCCATTTTTCTTTCAGGTTTTGTTTCTATCAGAGAAACGTTTAGTCGCTGGTGGTTTTGATTGCAACCCAATGCTTTTCGCGTCTGATGATACAGGAACATGGTTAGTATTAAGAAAATTTGATACAATTTTGAAGCTACATATTTTTTAGGAACTTTGTTCGTTTTCTGGACGAAGGGAAGACACCTGCATCAGACGTTAAAGCTTCGACACAAGTAAGACGGGTCAGTTTTGGTTTACTGTAAGCCGACAGATTTATTTTGGCAGTTTTCTGAAGCATTTGGGAAATTCTATGGGCAAGCTAAGCGTGGTGTTGCCACTGAATCTCCCTCAAGTGCTCCAGGAACTTATCATAACAATTGCATTACGTGAGTATCACTCGGCTTTTCTAGGTACTGGTACCGATTGTTGTTTCGTGTGCAGACTTCTAAATCCACTAGCTCCACCTGGAGAGCAGGAGATACGAAAATTTAGCACTTCTGGTACAAAGCAACTGTAGATCAAGCTCAAAGCGTTGCTGATGTAAGCCCTGGCATTTGTTTTATGCAGGCATGGATGGGAAGGTCGTGATTTGGGACATGAGCACCATTAGCGATGCGCTAGCCCGGCTTGGCATGTAACACAGGTGTGTTTATTAGCATTTCACAACAACATATTTTTAATCAAAACCCCACTTTTTTGTTTATTTCAATAGGAACAGATCAAAACTAGTATGGCACTGGAGACTTGGGTTTCCCTGGAGGGGGTTTCCTTGGAAGAGACAGAGAGTCATCAGCAGATGGATCTTCATTGGGAGAACCAGGGAGTGGCGTATTTGGATCAGGAATATTAGGGAATGGAGTGTCTGGAGGAGTTGGGTTCTTATTGCCAGTGTCATTGCCACTATTATCATTGCCATTGCTGCCACAGATGGAAGTTCCCACATCAGGATCATCCCCACAAAAGCTGCTCATGCATGCTAGTTTTCCAAAACATTCATCATTACTGGAACATGTTGTGCCACATTTGCCTAGGCTGCCACCATTGCCACCATTACCACTTTTTGGTGGCCCTTCTTTGTGACTACCACCACATATGTGAGTGTTCATATTTGGGTCGTCTGCACAGACATTATCCATGCATGCAATCTTACCATCGCAATCACCATCTTTGTTACATGAAGCTCCACAATTTTTAGCATCTACAACAGTGTAGAGACAAGCAAGAAGAAAAGATGCAACCAAGATTGTATATCTCATTGCAGATGCTATGTTTGAAGACTTGTTTAGAGCCTTCATACGTAGCCTTTTATATAGAGTTAATTCATTTTATATTTGCAATCATGCCAAATTCTGCATTAGTTTCCATGTTTGAATACTTTTTAGATATGACTGTTGACTTTGACCAGAATTAAAGAAGCCTAATTTTGACATTTATAATATACAAAATATATAATGAATATAAGAATATTGGACACTTCACACATTGGGCACCAGCTAAATGTAAGAATTTATTATATTTAGTGCCTTTAATAAGTAGTGACTCTCATCACTCAATCATGTTATAACAGAGAAACTTTGGCACCAGCACAACATTATGAAGTAATTTTTATTAGTTTAATTCATTTTCATAGTCTTAGTTTTTTGTGGAAAACCCTGAGAAACTCTTCCTTTAAATTAAATATTATAAGGCGGGAAGGAATTATTTCATATTAATTTCTGTGATCGATCACAAATTCCAAGATGCATTAAATCACTACTAGAGCAGAATTGATTTAATTGGTAAAACCTAGAATAAGGGCCATGCTTGGTTTCTTTTGAAATCATAATAAAGTTTCAATACAGTAATCCACATAGATAGGATATCCATCAAGTTCACACAATTGTAGTCCCTATAATTCAAAACCAAGAGAATCAATGTTAAGGCCTGGTTGGGCACAGTTTGGATATGTGTTTCAACCAGGCAAACACGTGGAAACTAAAACAAAAAGAATCTTAATTAATAAAAAGGGTTAGTTGTTAGTTTGTTTGAAACAATGTTACTTGCACTTTCTAAAGTGCCTGCCTCTTGATTGATGTTGTAGAAGGAAGAGCAGTGTCAATATAGACCAAAAGAGTCATACCTTCAACATTCATAAATATCAAATTTGGCAGATCTTTTATATCCCTTAAAGAATGATTATATAATGTTTATGCATATCATGGCTTGAACAAGTTCAATAGATCATCAGATAACTTAAAGAACTCAATGATATGGATGCACCTCATGTAAATTCCACATGGCAACCAGCAAGATATGTCTTTCCCAAGAGATGGTGCAAAAACACATTGTAGACTTTGCTTGTGCCACGTGTTAGAAATATTTAATATGTCAATATACTCCATACACTTGAATATTATAGAACCACACCACACACTTATAGAGTTTATGTCAAAAGTGCTCAATGTGCTAGAAGATAGGGAGGTTAGTGGTGATGAATATGCATAATAAAATATTAGGGGCAAAATTGGCTTCTTGTCGACATCCAGTGAATAAAATTCCTACCTTAAGGACCCTAATAAGATACTATATCATTCTCTATTGCATTATGTTTAGGAGCATTGTACTTCTAATGTGTCTAGGCTGACCAAATCTGTGTACAGCCCACATGTATATGTTGAAAATTGCATGTGTTTATTTGGTGGTTGACAACTCACAAACGACTATATAATGAGTTGCCCCATATATTAAAGCATGAATGTAAAATTCATATGATATAAGTTGTAGTATGCTACCATAGAGAATGTTTAAGTCTTGGACAATTACAACAAAATTTACTCATAGTCCAGATGGCATAGTATGTAAGGCTCCACATTAGTGTAAATCCATCTTTGAATTCTAAACATATGCTTCTACTATAGCCTTGTGAGATCATGCATTGCCAATGCTTCACAAACTTCCTATCAACAGAATTTATATCCTATTGTTCAACAACTAAAGCATGACTTGATGGTACTCTAGTTTGCACTAACACAATTCATAACTAGATTAGTCCAAACCGAACTCAATACCTCTTTTGTTGGTACTTTGCCGTATACACCCCACCACATTGTACACCACCAATACGCATATATTTGTATAATGTTTGCTTTATAATTTGGAGGTAGATTGTTAGATATCCTGTAGTTTTCATCTCAAGAATTTTGAGGTGTAATTAGGTGGCAACTAGACTAGCAAATCCTCTTGTTTACAATAATTTGCTGCACGTTTCATGTAGCAACACTTGGTTTTAGTGTCACTCTTGTTTAGTATTTTTGAATAATTCAATTGATCGATAATTATAAATATGTTTATAATTTATAAATCAAGATTAATATTATTGCATTAGAATAAATAAAAATATAATAGAAAGTGTTTAGGAAAGTTTTAAAATTATAAACATGTTTGTAAATTATAAATACAAAATAATCTAAATAAATAGCAATCGTTAGATGGTAAAATATCCTAGAATATCCAAGTATATCCTAGGTATATCCACTACCACCTCTACAAATTTTGCTTAAGCATTCAAATTTTTTTCTTATGGGTGTAACATTGTCTTCACTTCTTCCACACTAGAACCACGTTTGGAAGCAAAACTGAAGGAGGACAAAACGTTATTTACCTCCTCACCTAGCATATCACATACAATTTATGTGATATGCTATTTATAAATTTAGCTATTTGAGCTTACTCATTTTGAATCTCCTTTGCTCTTCCATACTCTAGCTTTTGGACTCAACTAAACTATAAACAGGACCAAATATGCCACTGCGACCAATATGCTTTATATCTTGACCCTAATCTAAGACAGCTTCAAATCTAGAACACATGAGGAAGAAATCATGATTGATAGATGATATGAAATGGTTTCCATTATGGATACCCATCTAAGAGTCATCTATGTATATTAGAAGTTGACAATTGGAACCCTTCTAGCTATTGAAGTGAATGAGCTCTGGAACAGTGCAGTGATTCACCCTGCCCTTGAGCAGGCAATTTGATTGGATGTGATATGGTGTTTCAATTGATATATTTTCATGTGAAAAGTCACAAAGTAATATTAACTTAATATACCATTTATTTTGTAGTCCATTTCTTTAAAAATTGTATTTTTTAATTTTTAATTTGTAAAATTTCAAGAGAAATTTATTACAGATTAAACTTAATATTCTTTTTATTAATAAAGAATTAATAAAAACTCACTCAGCTGGAGGAGGCGATTTTTTCCTAGGAGGGGGAGGACTTTTCTTCTTCCCCAATGGAGGGGCATTTGGTTTTGGTGATGGAATAGGGGATCCTGGAGAATCAGGGAATGGTGAAGGAATATCAGGGAATGGTGAAGAATCACTTGGAGTGCCTGGTAAATCTTCACTTGGTGGTTCAGCTGCGCCACCGCCACCACCACCACCACCACTACCACCACAAATAGAAGTTCCCCTATCTGGATCATCTCCACAAGTAGTACCCATACAAGCTAATTTTCCCAAGCATTGATCGTTATTGGAACAACTATCATTACAATTTCCAAGCTTGCCATTATCACCACCATCATCTTTTGGTGGTCCATCCTTTCGACTTCCACCACAAATATGAGTTCGCAGGTCTGGGTCATCAGCACATTTGTGATGCATACATGCAATCTTATTATCACAATCTTCATCCTTTTTGCAGGATTGCCCACATTTTTTTGCTTCTATAGCAGAGAAATACATAAGAAAGACCATACAAAAAACTTTACTAATACTCATAATTAGAAACTATTGAAAGAAAGAGGGGATGAGTAAACACTTCTAAAATCCAGCCTTATATATAACATTTATTCTGTTTTTTACAAATTCGACAACAATCCCAGCTGTAAAGTTTGGCAGTGTCCAAAACTAAATTCTAGCGGGCTGTGAACTAGCTCTAGATACATCCTATGATTAATTAATTTTTAATAAAGCAATTTACATAGTTAAATAGACACTCTTTCTGAATGGTAGTGTGCTATAAAGTGAGCTCTCAAGTCATCTTCCTTGGCTCCAGAATGAGAGTGAACCATTTCACCATTTTTAAAGAATCTAAATGTTGGCACAGCACGAATCTTCCATTTCCTCATCAAAGCCTGTTTAGTATACGCATCATTCTAGCAATTAGAATACGTAAGTAGAAAGTCTTACTCGTGTTTCACTGTCATAGTCCCCATTTATCTTCAAGAACACAGCATCAGGATAATCCTCACTCAACTTGACAAGCTTGGGAAATATGAACTTGCAAGGTCCACAAGTCTTGGTTGAGATATCAAGAACAACCTATGATCGAAAGCTTGTGATAAATAAGAGAGAGAGAGGGAGAGAGAGTAGTAGTAAGAACATGAACTTACAAGCTTATCTCGCACAGTCCTGATGAACTCCTCGAGCTCGGAGGCTACAATCACCAAAGGTAAAAACAATATCAACTAGAGAAAACTCACCTTGTTCATCAAAGAGCACAACATTTCCCTGTTTCGTGAATGATTCATCAATGGGGCTTCTGGTGCCGCAAAAACACCTGCCGCTGCTCTCCACAATTCCTTGGGAAGCTCTCTGGCCCCAAATGATGAGCTGCGGCTGAAGAACCCGAGCCGAATCCCCCAAGATGCCCGCTCGATCACGGTGCCGGAGTGGAGACGAGGGCGACGATGCAAGACGTGGAAGTGCCGCCAAACAGGGCACCAATGCTGCCGTTGCTGCCATGGCCACAAGAAACCCCCATGTCTCCACGTGTACGCGTGAATATGCCTCTCCAGATTCTTCGTTATTCCGGAAGTTCAATGGGTTTAACGTCGTTTGAGCTAAGCTTAGAGCAAGAAAAGAAGGCGCTCCACAAGATCAAATTCCAAGATAGCATGAGGCTTTGAGACTTTCAAGAGCGAGCCCAATCCACACATCATAACTTGTGAAGTTAATCTAAAAATGTATTTATTAATGGGCATATTTAGTAAACAAGTGATTTTTTTGTTTAGTTCCATGGCCTGCTCTCCTTTGCAGCCAAAGCATTGGCATCCTTATTGACCTTGATTACCACTACCAGGACAATAAGAAGTTCCAAATTGTGGAATATATCCCAAATCTGCCAAAGCATCAATATCAGTTACACATTTAGCATTACATTTCCCAACCATGCAAAAATGAGTGCCTAGATCTGGATCGTCATCGCATATACGATCTATACATGCAAGTTTATCATTACAATCGTTATACGCATCGCAGAAATACTCGCATTTTCCTGCTTTAGTAACATAGAAATACATAAAACAAACCATTAAAATAAATTTGGTGAAGCTCATCACTTAGACGCATCCAATGATTCCATGTGGAGGCTTTAGATACAACAAGCGGGGATAGGAATTGAAGGCCTGTTGCTTGCACGATTAGCTCATTATAGCAAACACTGACATTCCTGGCATCTCCACGTAACCATACAAAATTCACGAGTCCTCTCCATGCAACACTTTTACATTAGGTGTCTGACTGAAACAGGGAGATAGTATTTTCATACGTTCAAACCTTCATCCATGGGGGAAGAGAAAGACTTATTTTTCTTGAAAGCACCTTACTCTTTTATCTTGAAAGCTTCCATAATCAGTCGCAACTTAGTTTCCAAAATCTAGCACTGACATCATTGATCTTGTGGTCTACGATGTTCTTTGTGTTGTTTTCGAAGGCAGTTAACTGGGCATGACTAGGGTCTTCGTGGATCACAGGATCTTTGTCAAAGCAAAATCTACGATAATCAGCACCGCACCTAATCGACTCCAACATATGGCTGCTTTTCAGGACACTCTTGCTGTGCTCCAAGCGAAGTGTACGTAAGAATTTTCACTCCTTTTAAAGTTCTTTCGCTCCAGCTGACTATCTCCTGCGTTTTCTTTCTCAAACTCGTCTTCCTTGCTCGTCATGATCCTCGCAATCCAGCTGCTGGTTCTGCTCCTCTCGCATGCTGTGCAAGCAACGCAGCAGCAGCAGCAGCATGTCTTCTCCTCCAATTCACGACCTCCGGAAGTCTGCCTCAACTTAACGCCATCTCCAACTCTGGAAAAGTTCGTCGATCGCCTGCCGAGACTGCCCACCATATCCTTGGTCCGGTATCCCCGCCTCACTATGGGAGCTTACAAGATCTACCAGGTATTCGACTCCTTCCTGTCACTTCTTCAAACCGTGATGAGTTTTCTTCCAGAAACTCCACAGGGACTTACCTGCGACTCCCTTGTACGCGTTTGGAACGAGCCAGAGCACGGCATCCTATCCCGGCCCAACGCTCGTAGCTCGCCAAGGCGTCACCGCGACTGTCCGCTGGGAGAACCACATCCGCGACTACGAACACATGCTTCCAGTGGACAAAACGCTGCAGTGGGTCAATCCCCGCCACGGCTTCGTCCCGGTCGTCGTCCACAACCACGGCCAAGAGACCGAAGGATGGTCGGACGGTCACCCCGAGGCCTGGTTCACCGTCACCGGCGAGCACGGTGACACCTACGTGACGCAAGACTACGTCTACCCGAACGACCAGCGTCCAACCATGCTGTGGTACCACGATCACACCTTGGGCATCACCAGGCTCAACGTCGCCGCTGGTCTGGCCGGAGCTTACGTGATCGAGCCTTCATCAGAGATGGCGGAGCCGTCGTGGGTGCCGAGAGACTACCACGTCCTAGTCGTCCAGGACAAGGCCTTCTACGACGATGGCTCCATCAAGTATCCCACCGTGGGCTTGGACCCGGACGTCCATCCGCAGTGGTGCGTCGAGTACCTCGGAGACGTTGTCCTCGTCAATGGTGTCGTCTGGCCGTTCATGGAGGTTGAGCCAGCCATCTATCGCTTCCGGCTCGTGAACGCTGCGAACGCGCGGACCTTTGTCTTGGAGACGCGGGGCCAGCGCATGAGCTTCATCAAGATTGGAACCGATGGTGCAATGCTGCACCAGCCGGTCCAGCAGCAGCAAATGCGAGTCGGCCCCGCGGAGCGAGTGGACTGGCTCTTCGACTTTAGCAGCTTCGAGCCAAGCGACGAGATCGAGCTCTGGAACGTCGGTCAGGCACCGTTTCCAATCGGACCCCCGGCCAACCAGTCCGTCATGCTCTTCCGCGTCGTCTCACGAGCCCCGGACCGGGGCTCCTCCGGCTCTCATCTCATCCCAACACCGCTGGATCCGTCGCGCTTCCGCTACATGGCGCCGGTGGATCTCATCGGAGCCACCACCGGCGTCAACCTCTCCTTCGTGCCGTGGGCCGCCATCTACAGCCGGGGCCTGGAGCAGCGCATGACCGATCTGGCCTTGTCCCAGGACGACCACCTCCTCTTCGACGATCCGGTCCGCGAGATCATCCGGCTGTACTCCACCGAGGTCTGGTCCTTCATCAACTTCGTCCCGGTGGCTCACTTCATGCATCTCCACCTCGTCAACTTCTTTGTCCTGGAGCAGCAGCCATTTGATCCCGACCGTGTGGCGAACGGGTCCTGTACCTTCGGCTCGCCGTTCGGACGTCCGGAGAGCTGCTACACGGCCTACCCAACGGGGCCGGACGAGGACCAAGTGGGATTCAAGGACACCACCGTGTCGCTGCCGTTTTACGTCACCCAGATCTTTGTCAGGTTTGCTCCCAACCTTTTGCCGCGGTACCGGATCGATCCCACTGCTTATCCCGGCTACACTCACCACTGCCACCTTCTGGAGCACGAAGACAACGAGATGATGCGACCGATGCTCATGTCCCGCACCACTACACTCTATCCGAACGAGTCGTTCCCTCTGGACCAAGACATCTTCTTCCTCACCATCACCAACTGGACTGTCTTCTACTAAAGTTGTCGCGGAGGAACGCCCCGCTTTCTAGAATAACTATTATAACGAAGGTAAACAAGTACCTGATCACGGTGCTTCCTTGATTCAAGAAGCTCGACCTCTAGACTTCCCTGCCGCTCAGAATGTTGGAAAGCAATACGTAAGAAGCTCCATGCTGACCTTGCTCAATCGTAGTCACTTGTCCGGCGGCATGGGTACCTCTGTCCGTATCCCCATACATTCCACACGCACCAAGCAGCGTGCTCCAAGCCAAAGAGTTTGGCTGGTACGGCATCCTGTTGATAAGCTCGTGAGCATTTTCTAGCCAGCCCGCTCGGCCCAGAAGGTCAATGACGCAGACGTAGTGCTGGATTGCGGGAAGCAAATTGTGATCTCTGGTGATTGAGTTGAACAGGTCGCAAGCTTGCTCGACGCTCCCGGCATGGCTGCAGGCATGAAGAACAAAGATAAATGTGTCGTTGTCTGGCTTGAGGCCTTGGTGAATCATGCACCGAAAAGACTCCAGTACCTGATAGGCGTGTCCTTGTTCTGCGTAAGCTCTGAGCAGGGAGTTCCAGCAAAGTTCGCTCCATTGAAGTTCTTCGAACACATCTCTTGTGCGATGCAGGTTGCCAGTCCTTGCATACGTGTTCATCAGCGCTGCCGCAATGAGAGGATCTACCGTCAGTTCAGCTGAGGTTGAAATAAGCTCGTGAAGCCTCTTGCCTTGTATGAAGCTACAATTGCATCCAAGCAAGCTGATGAAAGTTACACTGTTGGGCTTGATGCCTTCCAACTGCATCCTTTGAAAGAGAAGCCAGGCCTCTTCAACTCCAGTCTCGTTGTTCATGCACGCTGTTACCATTGCAGTCCAGGACACCACGTTCTTATTCTTCAGGGCGTTGAAAACGTCTGTAGCAGCAGTTACATTTCCAAATCTGCCATAGAGTTCGATCAGAGACAACACTGCAACATCATCGAGCTCATAACCAACGTTCATAAATCGCTGTAAGAACATCTCACCTTGTTGCAGAGTTGTGGATGCAGCAAACATGGCAGTGAATGTGTTCTTGTCTGGTTTGACACCTTCAAGATCCATTTTGACGAACCAGGAAGCTGCCTCCAAATCACTGTGGCACGCAATCACAGCATTCCATGAAACGGTGTCTCTTAAATCCAATGATTCAAATACTCGCCTTGAGTCCTCCAAGCTATCACAATTTGCGTACATACTCACGATGGCGGTTCCTAAAACGGTGTCTAGGCCGACCTTGGAAGCTGAAATACGCTCGTGAACAGCTTTAGCATTCCCAAGAACAGCCAAAGAAGAGCACGCATCAACAATACCCAGGAAAGTTACGACGTTGGGCTTGATGCCTTCCAAGTCCATTTCATAAAGTAAGTGAAGGGCCTGAAGGTCAAAACCATGTTGAACGTAGCCTGCTATCATCGTGTTCCAGGACGCAGCGTTCCAACGGTTTAACCTGTAAAAAAGAGACTCAGCATCAGCCAGCTTTCCACAATCACAAAGGGAGGTCATCAAAGCAGTACCTAGGAATAAATCATGAGAAATCTCACCCTCTTGTGCTACCCGCTCGTAAATATGTTCCACGATTCGAAGCGCTTGCGTAGAACAGCAACCTCCAAGGACACTGATCAGAGTTACTCCAGACGGTTTCAAGCCTTCAAGTTGAAGCATCCCAAAAATCTCCAGAACTTTCGTGAGATCAGCTCGTTGAGCATGCGCTGCTAGAATGGAGTTCCACGAAACCAAACTCATCTTCACATCAACTCTTTGGAAAAGTTCCCAGGCAGAGCCAAGACGTCCACATTTGCTGTACATGTTGACGAGTGCAGCAGCCAAGAAGCTATCCGCAACCAATCCACTGCAAGTTATCTGTTCGTGGATCACAGTGCCCTGTTCTGAAAGCTCTGGCCTCGAGCAAGCTCCCACTACGCAGGTAAAGCTCACTACATTGGCTGCCACACCTTCCAGTAGCATCTTTTGAAAGAACTCCAGAGTTTGCCGGCCAGTTTTCTCGTGTTTAGCGTAAGCTGCGAGCATCGAGTTCCAGCAAACCAAATCTTTCTCATGGAAACTCTCGAACACCCTTCTCGCATTTTCCAAGCTGCCGCAGCTGGCATACAGATTGAGCAAAGAAGTGAGCACGGCTGCATCGAGAGAAGAAGGAAAACAAGAACCGCTTACCAAAAGGTTCTCCACTTGTCGGCCTTCTTCCAGATATCTCAGCTCGGAACAAGCCTTTAGAACACCCAGATACGCCACTCTATCCGGCCGGATGCCTTCTAGCAGCATTCTTCTAAACAGCTCCAGCGTGAGCTCGCTCAATCCATTCTCTGTGCACGCGTCCATGAGGATCGTCCACGAGAAGACGTTCCTGTCCTTTATTCTCTGGAACACCGCCATGGCCTCTTCCACATACCCGCATTTTCCATACATCTGGACGAGGAGATTACCTAGATATGTGTCTTGATCGATGCCGAGGCGCTGGAGCTCTCTGTGAGCCGCTCTTCCAGCGGCGCAATCTTCCGATGCTCCGCAGCGCTTGATTAGCTGCGCGTAGAAGCTCCAGGAATTGCCGCCCAGCGGCAAAGCTTGCATGGCTCTCTCAAGAACCCTAAAATAAAGAAAATAAGGGTTTTGGAGCTCGGAGCTATGTCGACGAGCGTCCCAGTGGCGCTCGCGAGCGCCATGAGGACAATGCCAGCGCCTGCGATGCCTGGAGTGATCGATGCGTTGCTGCTGGTGACTGGAGCGTCGTCATCGGTGGTGTTTCGCGATCTCCTGAGGATTCTCGAGCTCCAGGTAATTCAGGTTGATTTTTGGGCTAAATCTCTTTGTTTCATGGGCAGGAGATTATAGAGCTCTTCGAAGCTTTCAAGGCAGCGGCGCTACATCTCTTGTTGTTGTCAGGTACGATTGATCGTATTCTGGAAATATTTCTTTGTTCATGTGTTCTTACTATCCAGAAGATGCTTCAGACGTTCTCGATGAATTGGTTCGTGCCGTGTGTCTTCCATTGCTTTCCACAGATTCTACAAAGGTTCTCATTGTTTAGTGTTTTCACTGGTTGTTCACTCCCTCGTTTTTTTTTCTTCAGGGATCTCGACTTTTCGCTGAAGCGATTGCTATAAAGTGTAACTGGGACTATGCCTTAGCTACATTGGTTCCAAGTTGCTTACGAGCTATGTCCGCTGCTCTAGATGGAAAAGAAGCCGTGGTGAATGGTGCCCAGGTTGTTCTATCTTTGCCAGCCACTTGCCAGGTCGTGAGTCAGCTTCTCCTCGTTGCGAGCGACGTGACGATCAGCGATTTTTGTGCGAGCATGATTGATCAGTTTTGGTCTCCATGTCTCCGGTTATTGTCGGAGTCTATGGACGACTCACTCCGAAGCTTGGTCTTGCAAACATTACTGCCTTCACTTTTGAGAGCCTGCAAACTCTGTCAGCTGAAAAGGTATCTGTCTTGTTTTCTCCTTCATAACTTACAAGGTTATTCTTCTGCAGTGGCCTGGACAATGTTTGGCAATGCTGTCAAGTTTTGCTCTCTTCGAACAAGTCCCAGCGCCGGGACGCATACAGAATTCTTAGCATGATTGATGACTTCGGGGACTTGGGAATAAGGGAACCACAAATTTGGGACGAACTTCGCGCTGGACTTGTACGTAATAACGAGCTTTCGTATTATGATTCAACTCTTTGGCATTCTTCAGATAGATGGCGATTCTCTGACAAGGAAAAGAGCACTACACGTGCTGAAGCATTTCTTGAAGTCCGTTAAGGTTCTGATGGGCAACAATAGCACTGCAGAGTCTGTGGAAGCATCCCGAAAAAATGGCTCAAAACGTGAACAATGGGCCAATGAAGAAGCGAAATCTTTAGGAGTGGAGTCCTGGAGCTCAGAAGTGTTGCTCATGAGTGAATGTCAACAATGGACATCCTTTCTTCTCCTGTATGACACACTTGAAGAGTATGGTATTCATCTTGTCGAGGCTGCATGGGAAAAGCAGGTAATTTTATCATGCTTTGATCCAGTTCTCTGTGGTAATTTTGAGTGTTCTAGATAATTGCGCTCGTACAAAGTGTTTCTATCGAGGAGAAAAATCTTGTTAAACGTTTGGATTCACCATGGATTTTACTGCTTTTCGAGCGTGGATTTAAGCATGGAAACCCGCAAGGTGAAATCTTATATACATGTTTCTTGGGGATAATCTTTTGGCTTTTGTAGTGAGACGGCATGTTTTTCAATCCTTTTTCAAAATAGAATGGGGCACGAAAATCAGCATTTCTCGTGAGTTTGTTCTTGGGCCTTTACTGTGTGCACTAAATGATCCGGTGCACCACAAAGATTTTGGTAAACATAATTCTTTAAATTTTTTCTTGATTTTACTATTATATATTGCAGGTGTAAATGGTATTTATATATCAAACACTGGAAAGCTAGCGAACCAATTTTTTAGATTCTATACCTCTTCGATGAATTTTAAGTATGTCATTTTCTTACAACTAGATGAATTTACAATTCTAATTTTCTTTTCAGCACTCGAGTCAACTTTGTTATCAATTTTTGTGACACAATGATTAAGGAGCCTTTGTGTCGAGCCGGATTAATGACCCTCACTTCATGTGTAGAAGTTGTGGCTGCCACGGGTTTTGACAATGCTTTGCTGCATGACTCCTGCGAGAGTACACGGTTGCTGGATTCTTTAAGATTCATAGTCGAAAGCTCCAAGCATCATTTCAATCCACGATACCGTTGCCAAGGTACACTTTGTGTTTACAGTTTGTGTTGGACTTACGTTGGTGCAGTATGTAGTTATGCTCTTAAAGCGCTAAGCAGTCTATTCTCCATTACGGTGCTGGATTTTGGCTTGCTATCAATTTTTCTGGGGTCATTCCCTCGTGAATTTCTCGCCTCGGCAGGTGGTATACCAATTTTGATTCTTTATAGCTCATCATAATTAATATTCATAATTCTATAGGACCACTTCGTTCCAGTTTTGATCACTGGCTAAAGCGCTCCGGTGAGAAGGGACCAGAGCACATATTTGATGGGCTCCAATCTCAACTCGTGGCATTTCTAAAATGTCCTGATAGTAAAGAGCAGTCATATACTATCACCGAAGGTGATATCGACTCTTGGCGGGAGATTGCTGACAGATGGGCCAGAGTTCTGTTTATTGGAGTTCATACTGAGCAATATCAAGCTGAACTGCTGCTGGTTTGTCACATTTTACTCCATACCTTCGCTAATTTTCTTTCTCTTTTAAATTTTGTTTGCATGACAGCTACTGGAACAGTATGCCGCGGATATCTATGGTCGGGTGTACATGCCTGTAACAGTACCAGAAAAGGTTCTCCTAGTTCTTCAAAGCCTTATCAGAGAATGGGCAATTTCTGCGACTGGTTCATTCTTACAAGCTCGCCTGACGAACCTTTTTCGGAACATAATGGTAACATGTTTTCTCTATAACAATGATTAACATAATGCTTGCAGGGAGAATTAGTACCCTACGCAGAGAAATCCGCTGTCGCATTGTGGGAGTTTGAATTGGACAGTTCAATGCAATTAGCAGCAGCTAGTGGAAGATTAGGCGGTCCAAGTCTGCGACGGTTGCCACCTCGGGCTGCTTTGGTTGTGGTTAAAGCGGTAAGTCCGCGCTGTGGTTCGTCCTCGTGTTTCATTGGTAACATTTCACAAACAGGTGTTGGCTGTGGAGACGCTTGCTGAATGCTCGGTTTGGATTTCTGTGAACGATCCTAGGGGCCTCCAGGACTCCACTGGAAAGTTTTTGTGGAAACTTTCGTGGAAACTCTTAGAAGCTTACAACGTGCAGGAGGACGTATGTTTCCTGTTTCGCTAATGCTTAAGGGACTGACTCTACTGGTTGATATTGGCAGTTGCGAGGAGAATTTCAGCTAGCCGGGCTGGAGGCTGTAGCATCTCTTTGTAAAGCCTTGCCTGTTGCAAACAACAAGAGAATGATTCATAATGCGATTGAAGAAGGCCTTGCAGAAAGTTGTTCGGATCCTGCACTGTTTGTGGACAATCTAGTGGCAAAGCTGCTTAAAGCCTTCGAAGATACAAAAGTGAGGCTGACCAGAAGTCGATGCGCTGTTTTAAGCCGCCACAAGGTAACTGGCTAATTCATACTATCTAATTTAGCGTCCCGTTTTTTCTGCAGTGGTCTTGCCTAGATGGATTTCTTTCTCTTAAGAACTTAGGAGACGACATCAAAATCATGAGTGCTATTTCTGAACTTACTCTTCTTAGGATAATACAGGATGCTCTGGAAAGGTAATTGTTCTGGTTTCATCTTGGTATTGTAAGTGTTCTATTTATCTTTTAGCATTGCAAGCGCTGGTGAAGACTACGTGATACCAATCTTTAGGTGTGTCCGATGGCTCTTTCACTGGGGTTTACTGGATTTGCAAGAAGATCCGCACCAGGTACATTGATCCTTCGACTATTCGCACTTACAAAATTCTCTCTATATTCAGGTGGTGTGGGAGCTTGTTCGCTCCGGGTGGACCTGTATTGCAGATTGTAATAAGCGGAAAGTAGCTCTTTTTGCAGCATTTTTGTCATCTTTCTTCCATCCAAGGCTTTTCCCAATTGCTGATATGCACAACACAAATGACAATGAAGAGGGACCTCTAAAATGGGTAACAATATATCTCCTTCATATGCTGATTGACGATTTCTGTAGCTTCTAGGGAGGCTGATCGAACTCGGATCTCGTAGTCCTCGCACGATGCGTCTTACAGCCTTACATGTGAGTGGGCTTTGGTTGAAATTTCCAGAAACTACAACCTTCTACATGAAAGAGATACAATTCATGTGTTTGTATGGTGGAGGTAAGAGTCATTTTACGTGTTGGCATGCCTGCATTACAGTCCATTTGGGAATTCAGAAGCCATAGACGAAGAGTTCGATGGTGAAATTTTCGACAAAGAGCCGTCATCGCGAGAATTTTCTGCGTTGATACAAAGCTCCGATCCGGAATTACAAGAGGTGACAACCACTATCTTTATGATGGTTTTTTAAATATTCGCTATGTTTTGTAGGCCTTTTCGAACTCTGAAATGTTTGTCCGAGTTGCTATAGCTATAATGATGGATAAGTTTGCGCAGCTGGTTGAGAAGGGAGCAACACATAGTTATGAACTTAGGATCCCCATTCCAGCAGTACTAAATTGTGGCCGAAGCTTGTTGTTTCAACTTTTAAATGCTGCTGTATACCATTTATTTCGCTGTCTGGATGGGCATAACACTTTCTTTTAGGTACATGATTTGGACTTGGCAAAGGAGCTCTACAAAAAAAACAGTGCAGTAAGCTATTTGATGTCAATCTGGCAAACTATAATCTCGTGTTTCTTTTTAGCTCCACAGGCGAAAAGTGAGGCTCTGGCAGATGTTGTGCATATTAACACGCTTTGTCGATGAATCCATGCTGGAGGACGTGATTTTACGTCTGGAACAATGCGTGTATGTAAGTAATGTGGTTGTGATTAGAACTTTAGTGACATTTCGTCCTTTTTTCTTCCCAGAGGAATAATATGCCCTCGGTGCGGCAGTACATAGAGATATTTGCTGTTC